ACCGCACCCAAAGGCCGCAGGTTTATAGCCCGTTCCCTTGCCTTAAATGGCCGGGACTGGGCGGACGTCCGCAACGCACCTTTCCTGAGCCCTGCCCCCTTCCACACCATTTACGTACTCGAACGTCTCACTCTCGCCCCTGTCTGTACCCTGGCACATCCCCTTGCACCATCCCTCATTGACATCTCTCCCACCACACACCCTTAAATTGCATGAGCATCCTGCTTAACTATGTCCCGCCGACCTCCATCATCACCTAAGTAGACAACAATGTATTTACTGCCTACCATGAGGCTCGGCCTCGCAGGGCAATAAACGGGATCTAGAAGAAGAAGAAGAAGAAGCTCCTGTCATTCACGCCCTACGCAACTTGTGCTGCGATGTGAAGCCTTCCATCGGTGAGTCGAAGATGTCATATTTGTCCTACTCCTGGTCTATCTTTTGAGCCGCAAAGCCAGGTCGTACGTGACCTGCTGACGAAACTACATTTTTGCACTCGTTGCACCATGAGATGCGGGAGTAGAAAATCGTGTTGATGAATGGTCATATGATCCGGTGGGGAAGGAATTGCGCAAAGTACTGGTAGCCTGGCAATGCCAGACGCACGTGCATCGGTTTCGGCCTGGTGGGCCATCCTCCTTCGGCAGAAAGCGAGCATGCATTGACAATTGAGTTACGACCTTCAGGCATCGGGAGTCCGGGCAGGGTGCCGGGAAGAGGGAAAGCTTCCGAGTCAATGCCGTCGCGAGCTCTGCTTCGGGACAACAGGTCGCCGCGCACAAGATTCCTGTTTCTCATACCTCGATCATGTTGCCGACCTTCGTGGCCACCGCGAAGAGAAGACGGTACCCTGAGCTTGACTGAGAGTTCGAAGACAAGAGCGAAGACACGTGCGCGAGGGAAGTCAGTGGCAGGCATTTCCCGGATGGCCATATTTGTCGGGAGTCTGCCTACACGGGCAAGAGTCTTCAGATAAGGACAGAGGCTGAGGAACGGGTCTTGGCTGTTCGGGTACGTTGGCGGGGATGCATGAAGAACCTCGAGAGACTTTCGTAAACGTCAGCCAGCAGCATTCAGATGACCGTGGTCGAAGTTCAGAAACACCGAGGGTGCATACCCAACAAGAAAGGAACTTACGTTTCGAGCAGGGTGCGCGTCCAACCGTGGACGCAGCTGGACGGCGTGCGCAGCCGCCGTGTGCATATGGACGGGGTGTCCCCCAGAACTCCGGCAAGACGGCACGCAGCCCGCTGGATGCGAGTGCGAGTGCTAGCGTTGTGGCTCCCACCAAGGTTGAGCTGCTATAGCTCGGAACGTGATCATAGGGTCATCGCGTGAGTACATCGCCGCTGCATGCTGTCCGCGCGGTCCGGGCTATAAGGTTGCAATCGATAGAGCAGACCCAGAGGACATCCTATGCCACCTCTGAGCGTGTTACTCGCTGCCTTGCCGTTGCGCGCGGATACTGCAAGGTTGGTGGAAGGATGCTTGAATTGGCATGGCCACACCAGGATATTGTGCAGGTCAGTGTCGGGTGAGGTCGTCCTCTGATACGGGAACATAGCGAACGCCGACGGGATGGGGAAAGCAAGGTTGTGCGTGATGGGCTGATCTTTCGTCAAACAGGGTGGGCAACAGAGAATGGGGCGCGCGACGGGGTAAGTAAGTCCTGCGTGGCCGCACGCGAGCGCGTCAGAGATCCGGGATTCGAAGAGACATTGACAACAAGCGTGGGTATGCGTCATGCGCGACTGCGACATTCCTGTCGCCGATCCGCACGGAAGCGGTAGTTGGCGGCTAGCACGGTAGTACGCTAGAACGATGCTGTCGAGATGGCAACGCGCGCCGGTCTGTTTCTCGAGCAAGCACGCATCTGAGAAGCGGATGTGGGGGTGCTGAAAAAGTGAGGCTAGAGGACGATGCAA